CTCTGCTATTAGCCACTTTTTTTGCCGACACATTCTTGCTTATTTTTATTTTTCATGCTGTATCATGCTGACAATAGACTGTTTTCAATAAGCAGACACTATATTATCTCCGCAAATAGTTTACCTTAAGTGCAAAGCAGGTAATATTTTGTAATTAGTATTATCTTTTCTATATATTCATATTATTCAGATTTTACTTATGCTATATCAAAAGGGGAACAGATTCTTTTCATTGTTTACACTTCATTATTAAATGTCATACTATTTTCTGCAAATGCATTTTTGCAATTTTAAGAGGTCTACATATGTCATTTGTTATGCATTATCATGCTGATAATATACTGTTTTTGTTGAGAAGATTTATATCTCCAAATAGTTTACACTCTGTGCAATACAGGTAATATTGTATTTACATTTTTCGTATTTTTCAATTTTCAAAAGTAAGAATCCACCTATGCTATATTAAAGCAGTACCCCCTAATCCATTGCTGGTTGTTGTCATGGGGGCCCAATGTAGGGGATCACCCCAACCTTGGACTTTAGCCCTTCTGTCCACTTCCTAAAGTGTAAGACCTATGTTGAAAGGATGAAAGGCTGGCCTTGTGTCAGTCATAAATGGCCTCTGGGAGCCATAGGCATGGTATGCCCTCATGGGGACCATTAGGGGTAGACTGTTTCCTCTCCCCATTTATTTCAGGCTTACCATGGCCAATAATGTAGATTTTTTACCTTTACTAGAGGCATTAAGGCATGCCCCTTCATCAACTAGCCTATCCAAATATGATTTAACATCCTTGTAATATGATGATAATGTGGGCCTTATAATGACTGCAGTATGTGAGTTTTCAGTCCAATATTTTATCATTCTCCAATAAGTAGTGATTCAAACCTAAGACTTCAAAACTTGGAGGGAAGGGGCTATAATTTCCGAACTCTGCCTCTCCTTTTGATACTAATTCCTCCTCTTCGATGTTGCTGTCAACTTTATCCATTCCAAATCATTCACCTAGGTCATTACTCCACCTTCAGAGTACACCCCTTCCTCTCTCCCAACATCATCCTCTCCATCTTCTACTGCACAGTTTTCTTCACTGTCTACCCCCACCCCCCTTTATTACTAATCTTCTTCCTTATTGTCCTCCTCCTAACAGGACTACCTCTCTCCATACCACCCCATCTTTCTCCCGCCCTTGTCCTTCTACTACTTTCACCTCTGAAATCCTTTTGGCCCAGCCAATGGGGACCAATTCTTTGTGATTACCCCTACAGCCCCAAATTCTGACAATACCCTTCTCTTTTAACAATGTCTCCATAAACAATTAGGCAAAGTTTCCTTTCACAGCCTTTCCGATCATTCACACTTTATCACAGTTACATCTGAGGCCCAAGCTTATGAAATATCTACCCTGATGGACCTCACTAGTAAAACTATTCCTGCTCAACTTCACTCCTCCCTTAATACTTTTGCCAGAACTGTTTCTGTTTCTCTGACTGACTTCCCTGTCCACAAGGACATGTCAGACTGTGAAAATTACTTGCTTGCATGCCCAGTCAACTACAGTACAATGGCAGTCCAGTGCTACACTATTCCAATGTAAGTCCTACACCAATTTTGTCAACATTAGCTTCCACAGACATGACCTCCCTAATGAAGATTATATTGGTGGAGTGTCCTGAACTGCCCGAAGATATCGACCTCTTCCTAGTCAGTGTCAAAAATGTTGGTGTTTTGGCCACCCAGCCAAACACTGTTGCTCCACAGCCCACTGCCCTTAATGTGCCCTTCAAATTGCTCTATTCAGTCACACATGTGTGCCAATTATGGTGGCTCTCATAATGTATTTTATAGGAGCTGCCCTGCATACAAGCTTGAATCTGAGGTAGCAGTTCTCAGATTCAAAATAGGCCAGACAAGAAGCAGGCTGATGAGGTTTTTCCCTTTCTACCTATTCAAAACTGTACTTTGCTCCGCTCCCCTCCCATCTTCTC